CGGTCAGTCGTCGGGTCGGCCCCGGTAGTCGGCCCATGCCACACCACGTCGGTGAGCGGCGGGGCCGCCGGCGGAACCAGCTTGTCGAGCTTGACTTCGCCAGGCGTACGGCGCCTCGGGCAAGGGCAGCATGCCAGCACCAAGCCGCAGGTCCAAGCCGCCCAGCTACAGGGTGCGAAGAGCGTCCTCAGGCTGCGGGCCAAGAGCGCGACCATCCCGGTGCCGGCGAAGACCGCCACGAGCCCGGCGATCAGCGGCCACGCGGAGCCGAACAGGGTGAGGCCCATCTGGTCCGTCATGTAGAGCACCCAGCCACCTTCTGAGCTAAGCCAACCTCCTGCCTCGCGAGTCGAGAAGGCAGACCTGAAGCTCCCCACGGCCCTGAAGGTGCCCCCACCCATCCCCTCGGCAAACCAGTAGGTGCGGTTGCCGATGTCCTTCCAGCTGATGCCGAAAAGACCCCAACCTCTGATCCAGGACGATGGATCCCCATCGGGGGGGTCGGGGGGTGGGTGGGTCGGGTCCTGGGGAGGGGGCCCAGCCGGCGGCGCGGAGCGCTCGCGCGGCGGTCCCCCTCCGCTGCTTCCTGCAGGCGCAGCGCGCCCGCCGGTAGGGGAGACCCCGTCCGGCGGCGCGCCCACGCGCATCGAGGGGTCCACGGGCGCATCGAGCCAGAACTCCCTCATGTCCACGTTGTCGTCGTAGTACGCGGACTCGGCATCGGCGTCGGCATCGGCGATCCCGACGGTCATCGCGAGGATCAGCATCAGGGCTGCCGCGCGCCCACGGCGCCGGCCGACCGGCGGCGGCGTCTGGGCCTTGGGGCAGCTCCTCCAGGCGGGCCCCAGCGCGCACGCGCAACCCGCGGCCCCCGCCTGGCACTGCGCCAGCGCCGGCGCGGGCTCGCGCCTGGCTGCTGGCTCGTCGGGGGGGTTCGGCGGCCCCGCCTCGACGGATGCCGCCTCGCCTCTGGGTGCTCCGCGGCTGGCGTGAGCCGGCGCCGCTCGGCGCCCAGGCCCCCCACCGCTGCGCAGCTGCGCGCCCGCGGGCGGCGACGCTGCCGCCCACCAGCCGCGCGGCGCCAGGCGCGGCATCGTGCGGCCGCGGGCGCCCCTGCCAGGCCTGGACCCAGGCCTGGGAGTCTTCTGGCCCCTCCGGGGCCCGGCCTTAGGCCAACTGAGGCCGACCCCCAGCTTGGCCTTAGAAAGGCTTGAGCCGCGGAGCGGCGGTGAAGAGAGAGGGAGAGAGAAAGGGCAAGCAAGAGGCAAGGGCAGGAGCAAGGGAACCGCAAGTGGAAGCCCGCGCCAGTTCTGGAGTCGGGGAGATCCATCAGTTTTACCAAACATCCTAGATGCTGCCCCCACCCCCCCGAACGAAGCAGGTGACGCCTGGCGACTGCCACAACAACCTAACTCTTCCTAAGACGCCCAGGACCAGTCCGAGAATTCCAGTGGCAGAACTCTCACCACGCTGTCCACGGCGCTCTCACTTGGGCCGACGCACTGTCCAAGCCGCGCCCCAGACCATCGACTGGCCGACGGCTTGAGCAATCAGCGCCCACCAGGGTGCTTGTCCCTGGGCTCGGCGCCTACCCAACTGACCACGAGCGCCTCGCCACCATCCTGGAGAGCGACATCGACACCGTACCCAACAGCTCAGCTGTACACATGTGCTCCCGGCAGCGACACCGACACCCGAAGCCACACCTGCGAGCTACCACGAGTCCTCGATAGCGACACCTACAACGCCTACGGACGCCGCTCCGAGCACGTATACGGCACATGCAGTCAACACACGCGACAGCGCGCCTCCCTCGCCGACGTCTTGTGCCTCTGACGAGACACTTTCGCGACTGCCTCGCCCAACGAGGCAGCCCCTGGCAGGATTCCAGCGTCCGCCCCGAACAGGTAACAGGCCTCGCAGCTGAGGGCCCTCTGGCACGGCGCCCTGCGCAAAACTGCCATACCCTGCGGCCACATGTTCGTTGCACTGCGCAGCACTGCCGTACACGTCCACACTGTGCACCGTCTTCCCACAAGTCTGCACCGCTGCCTGCTTCGCCTGCGCCGACGCCGCAACCGCCGACGACGCCGTCTACGCCAACGCTTGCGCCGCGGACGACGAGGACGAGGACGACGAAGTCACCGAGAACACGAGGCTCTTTGCCTCTGTCTTCACCGCGGGCCAGCCTCTCGCCCATGGCCCCCTGCCCATCAGGGAAGATACGGCAGGCGCGGGCTGAGCGCCACGCCCAGGATACGCGCCAAGCCTTGGAGCGCGACCGCTCGCCCCGACAGGCAGAGGGCGAGCCCAGCTTGGCTTCTGCCGCCGCCGACGTGAGAGCCCCCGATGGCCCCTCCTCAGATGCCGTCGGCGGCGACGCGGGCGGACCCGGGCCCCAGGGAGCAGCACGATGCCCCATGAAGCGGGCCTGCTCTCCTGCCAGCTGCGGCCCACAGAAGCCGACGACGCTGTCCGCCAGGAGGCCCAGGGCACGTGTAGGCGCGGCTGCGTGCCTGGCGCTCCGCTCCGCCGTCCGCCCAGCCCTTCCTGCGACGCCGGGCGAGACTGCTACGTACGGCTGGCGACCCCCCGCAAGGCAAGGTGTCACCGTCATCCACCAAGACATCCAGCGCTCCCAAAGGATGGCATGGGTTGTGGCTCGGCCACGAGGGGCTGTCTTCCCCCACCTTCCCCCACCGTCCTCTCCCTCGCCCCCCTCTCCTGCTCCTCACCCCCCCCTGCCGGGACCGGGGGGGGCCACGGGAGAGAAAGGGACGGGGAGGAGGGGGAGGAGGGGGGGTGGGAGGGGGAGGAGGAGAGGGGAGAAGGGACGACACACGCGGGCAGACTCGGCGGCGGCGTCACCTCGTCGCTCGCTTGGCCGTTTCCGCGTGTCCGGAGGCCATTGATGGATACATGACGGGAGCCTACCCCTACGCTGCAACCCTTTTAAGACGACCGCGAACAGATCAAAGAGGAATGTGCGGAGCAATTCGACGCGGAAATCCACACGAACGCATCTCGTTCCCTAACACTTCCCGCAATGAACCCCTTGTTCATTAAGAAAGAACGGGGCCACCAGCCCCCCCCCCCTTCGAGCTCCAACTGCCTTGCCAGGGCGAGGGCAACATCAACCACAATGGGCGTGAGGCTCGGTAATCGGTTTTCGAGCCAGGCATTTGCGTAGCAGTCATTTGCAAATATGTCAAGGCCCCCGGGGAAAGTAAGAAACCGCTTGCACGGCGACGCAAAGTCCCTACTCATTAACCGTTTTGGATGGATTCCTTCGCTCCCCGAATTGCTTGCGCTCGGGGTCCAGTTCGGCCCCCCGTGCACCCCGGAGCCGCACTGAAGAAAGGGAGGTGTACACGACGATTGGAACTGGAACGACTTCTCTTCAAGATGCGGCTGGGATAGGGGGGAATCTGATGAAGAGGAACGAGCAAACCTGAATCACTCTCGTCAATCAAGGCCGCGCGCAGAAGCACGAGGCAAGGCGTGGGGGTAGAGGCTCGTTCGCTTCCAAATTGGGGACCTCCAGTACAGATTCGGACAGCCTTCCCCTGTGCAAGCTTCCGCGGGGTTTGCTTCGCAGGGGAGCCTGCAGAGGAGGGGTCTCCGCGGGCCCCTATGCCTGCGGAGGCCTCTGCGAGCCCTGGTGACCGCAACCTCTGGCGAAGATCAGGGACCCGATACGACGTGGCTAGGACCGAGGTGCTCCCCAGACGAACGACGAAAGCCGCACGTCCTCACGGCCATCTGCCGAACCCTTCGCCGCCGAGGCGCCACGCGATGCCAGCGATCGCAAGACGCAGGATACCGATCCAGATGCTGACTCGCAGCGGCGAGGCGAGGCTGCCTGGCAAGACGGCCGCCCCCCGTCCTGCGCGCCGAAGCCCGATGTGCGGCCGCTGCTTCCTGCAGCGCGCTGTGGCCGGGCTGTGACCTCTTGCGGCCCTAGCGCCGTTCGGGCCGCGAGAGCCCCATGTGGTAGCCCTCGACAAGACGAAGCCAGGATGGGAATCACTTCGGGTGCGGGCAAATTGAGAATCTCTGAGATCCGACGGCTGTGAAGGATGTATCGGGCGTCGCGGTTCTCTCAGAGCCATCCAGAGCGCTCTGAGAGCGTTCCGAAACGTTTTGGAACGGATTTATCCTCGTCCTAGGATTCGGCCCCACCTCCAGTGGCCCTCGCCAAGGGCCAGCGTCAGACGGTCCTGGGGCCCAGGACGGCCCCAGCCCTGGTTGGGCCGCGGGAGGCCCTCGTGGGTGCCCTCGGCCCCTCCTCCCGAGACTGGTGACCCACATCCAGGGCCGTCGGTGAACGGTCCTGCCCGGGGCCCAGCCGCGGGCCTGCGGGTACCCAGAATCGCGCGGACAGCTCGGGCGGGGTACTTGTTCGGATCGCTACTCGCCTGAGTGGGGGTGGGTAGGTGTCAAGCCAGCGGCAGGCAAAAACCCTGACAGTGATGCGCATGCGGGTCCCACCGTCCCCCCCCTGGCAGCCGTGCGCAGACGACGAGGGAACGATGAGGACCACGACGGATGAGACGGACGAAGGAGAAGGCGGCAGCGTCGCTGGCAGCAGCATCAGCGGCAGCGGCGGCAAGTGACAGCAGCAGAACACGACAGAACACGAGGGAGGAAGAGGAGAAAGAGGACTATTGAGAGGACTAACGCAATTATTCGTCATCGGCACCCGGGATGAGAAGCAAATTGCAGAGGAGCCGGGACGGAGCCGAGGAGGAGGAGGACAACGAGGCGAACGCTGAAAGCCTGGCACCTGGTGTCCGCCCAAATGTATAAACGACGACGACGAAGAGTCGCACTCGTGCAGACCGACGTGCACATCCTCGCGGATGACCCCGCTGGCCGTCTGCGTGCCCAGCGGGGAGGCGGGGCGCGCGTGCGTGGAGGGAAAGGAACGACGCACTGCGGCAGCAGGCTCATTACCGCCAGCCCAGACGTCGAGGACGTAGCATACAGACTGGAATGTGGGAGGGAGGACGTGCGACATGTTTCAACGTTTGGCCACTCGAGCGACTAACGCAACTGAGTACGCATTGCACACTTTGCGATTGGCACTTCGGCAAATAGACCTGCACTGTACGCTTTACGTACGGCAGCAACCGTCCGTGCAGGCGCAAATCGCACAGCCCTGTCAATACTACTACCTACTGCCAGGAGCTCTAACACATGAAGATGAAGCCCCTCGATAACAAACTGGACCATCACCTCTATAGTAAGCTGGACCATCACTGCCCATGAAGAGCTACGATGACTGACCACGCAGGCACTGGCAACCACTGCCAGCTTGCCAAAGTGGTCTGATGAGAACTCTCATCTACGTGTGTGAGGGGTGCTGGCAGGGGGGGCTGGCTCAGGGGGGGGAACATCTGCCTAGGGTCGACGAAACATCGCAGATAGTTCGGCGATACAGCCGAACATGCGATCAAGAAAAACATGCTTCAATACATGGAGGCCAGCTCCCCGGACGGTCGTCAACACCAATCTGGGCCAACGGGTTCTGTTGACGCTGGAAGGACGAGCGTGCTTCAGAAACTGGGCCAGCTCCCCAGCAAGCTGGTTGACGAACGCTGGCCAAGCTTGCCAGGAGCACTTACAACAAACAATCAGCTGCTCGACAATGTGCCTCCGAAGGGAACGCCCCGCGTGCCTGCGCAGGCCGGAGCCCTCGGGCCCCCATCTGCGAGGAGTGGGCGACGCGGAGAGCCGAGGGCCCCCCCCCACGAGCCCAGGCACTCCCCCCGCCGACGCCCCCGAGTGTGATTCAAAACTATATTGCCAGCATCCCCCCCCCGGCGGGGGGGAAAGGCGGTATCAGTACTCGACGATGGACATCGGGAGCCCACTAGCGCCCATGATGGATGCCACGCCCTCCGTGCTGCTCTTGAGCACCTCGCGCAGCACCGCGTTGCTGAAGTTGTGGCGCAGCGGGCGCAGCAGCCTCCTCAGCTCGCTCATGCTGAGCGGCGGCGACCTCTGGAGGCCAGAACACAAACAGAAGAGGTGCCTTTCCCCATCGAGCGGGACAGGCCACCGACGATTCCGGCCCAATTCTGGCGGAGCTTGGTGGACGACCGCGTGCGAAGCAAGCAGCGATCGTAGCACTAATGGTGACTACTCCCCCAAAGCCCCAAACCTGCAACGCCGCGTCTTTTCCACGACCGAGGTCTGGATCCTTTCCCCGTGACCCGTCTCATCCCGAGACATTGCTCGACGCGGTCCACGGGCCCGGCCACGGCCCCTGGAGGCAGAACTATGCAAAACATTCCCCCGCCTCCACAGCGAGAGAAGGACTGTCGGCGGTGGACAAACCTCGCTTTGATAAACAACCCTTTAGTGAAAACGGCCTGGGACCGAAACCGACGGACCTGGACCCGCAAAAGTGACGGCCGAGACGCCCTCTCGCGAACCGAAAACGGCCAATTCGCTAATCGACGCGTCAGGGTAGGAGGTCTGTCCACCCCCGAGAGACTGGTAGGATCTGGCCCTGGAGACCTGACGGCGCGCATCCAGTACAGCGGCTCGGGCAGGGCCTGCACGTCCTGGCCCGTCACCTCGGGCCGACTCTGCCGAGGGCGCACCGCAGACCCCCGCAGAGGCGAGGCCGGCCGGAGCTCTGCCCGCCGGTTGGCCGCATCGCTCGGAGCCCATACGTGCGGCGTCCTGCTTTTTTCCGTACGGGGCCCCTGGTAAGACGAAACCAGATTCGAGACAACATAGGACCGATCTAAGGTGCAAGATGTGTTGGGCGCTGCGGCCGTTTCAGAGCGTTCGCGGAACGCTCTGGGAGCTTGCCAGAACGCTCTGGAACGCAGATATCTCGACTCTAGGCCCGTCCGACCCGACCCTTTGCCTGGAACCGTTTTTTCATCCCAGATAGTTTTTGAACGGTCCTGGAGTCCTGGAGCCCAGCGAGGGCCCCCAGAGGCCAGATATAGGAAAAGCAGTCCGTCGTGACTTTCTCACGACGCCAGCATGTCTGGGACCCCTTGGGCCACCCTCCTGGGTGTGCTGCAACGCCGACCCGCGGCTGCTGCCAGGGGCTACCCTTCAGCCCGGCCGCACCCGCGCACCCGCCGCAGCCTCGCCGCGTGAATGTGCCCCGCGCCCTGCTCCCTTCTCCGCGGACGCCCTCCTTCCTCCCCACCCCCTCCTGCATGCGGGCTAATTTGCGATGTCGCGTGCCGGTCTCGCCGAGACGCGCATGCGGATTGCCTCTGCCGCGCTGCGACGGAACAACTGTCTTGGGCCCCTTTCCCCGGCAAGGGCATGCCGATAGCGCTGACGCCCCCTGGTGGCAGCGGGGAGTGAAGAAGCTGCACTGCGGGGGCGGAAGGCCACCTGCGACCCTCCCGAGGCATGGGCCGGAGGGCCCGGCCCCCGCACGAGCCACTGACTCTGCCTGGTCTTGCCTGCGGTCAGCTCGGGCATGCCCTCCTACAGGCGGAGTTTGGAAGAAAAAACGGGATGAAGCAACAAGCAGAATAGTCAAACAAATGTATAATGTCCCATGCTTGAAAGAAAAAGTAGTCAAACAACAAGACAAATCGTCCCCATGTCATTTTTATCATTCTTGAATATCCCTCCTGCAGGGGGGATCTGCCCGACTGACGCCTATGGTCGGGAACTTTTGCTTAGCGTGCAGGCGCGGCGGCCCCGACGACACGCTGTGCCCTGTGCAGATCGCGTGTCGCTCCGCTCCGCGGGGCGGGAGGCTCGGGAAACCTCGGGGCGCTGACGCCTCTGAACCGCTAAGTGGATAGCGTGTTGCGCCGAGGCGGGGTGGGTCAGAGCTGGCGGGTCGACAAGTTACACCAAAGAAGCCCGACTGCAACCCAGCTAGCCTACGGTACGTTGGCGGCTCTAGTAGTCTGCCGAACCGCCTGACGCTGCTGGCCTTCCACGGGAGGAATGCCCTCGCATCCTGCCGCGCCGCGAGCCGGGTTCGTACCCCTGGCCGTTGGGTTCTCCCCTGACTGGGGTTGCCTGCGGTGCGTAGACGGCTCTGGAAGTCTTCTGAGCCGCCTGACGCTGCTGGCTCTGGACGCGAAGAAACTCCCTCGCAGCCTTACCATCGCTCGGACGTCCATTCCCCGTGCATGTTCTGTGTCATGCACTTATCGTTCGAAAGATGATGCAAGATGCTTCTCGATGGTCCTCGCCGAGAATGATGCACACGTCCGAGCGATGCCAAGTATCCTGCTGCTCCACGAGCTGGGCCCTCACCGCCTTCCTCCTCCTTGCCCTCTTTTCCCCGAGCCCTCCCTCCCCTGCGGCCCCTCCTCATCACCCCTCTGCTGCGCAGCCTTCAAGTCACTTCTCCCCCCCAAACCCTCCTCATTAACTATTCTACCTCGCCCATCATGCAGCTCCTGTTGCTCCTCCTCATCCTTCTCCCCCCCTCCTCATCCTCCTCCTCCTCCTCCTCCTCCTCCTCTTCTCCTCCTCCTCCTCCCCCTCCTCCTCCTCCTCCTCCTCCTCCTCGTCCTCCTCCTCCTCCTCCTCCTCCTCCTCCTCCTCCTCCTCCTCCTCCTCCTGCTTCATCTCTCCTCCTCCTCCTCGCTCTCCGCGCATCTCTCGGCCAACCCTTGCCCCTCACGATGCTTCTCGCCTTTCCCCCCCCCCACCTCCTCCGGAGACTATTTCGCCTCGTTTTGGGCATTTTCCAAGCAAGGGTTTTGCAAGGAGCTGCGCCGGGACCCTTGCGCGAGGATTATGGGGCGACAAATTCGCCCCAGTGCCTGCCCGAGGCGCCCCCCCTCCCCCCCGGTGACTTCGTTGCTGGCTGCCGAATGGTGCTGCAGCAGGCCTGAACTTGATCTAAGCAAGACATGTTAGCCGATTCCTGTCTACGAGTCGTAGCCCGCGCGAAAAGCCTGAGTCCTAGCGCAACCATGTCCGAGCTGCGCCCGCGTGCGTCTCCGCGCAGCTCTGCAATCATGGCAGCTGCAAAATAAGGGTCAACTGCCGATCTCTTGTGCTCACGGTGAAACTTGCGAATCGCGCTGGCAGGCGATTTGCCCGCAGCTGCGCTTCCAGAGCCCTTGAAGAAAAACGCGGCTTCCCCAGGCCCATGCGACGAGGGCTCCTGAATGTAGCCAGAAGGGGGCGGAGAAGGGCGGGGACTTTCCCGGGGCCGAGCCAAAAAGGTCGCTGGAAAAAAACTATCCGGTCAAGGGGCACTGTCTTTCTTTAGGCCTCTCAGCAGGGCTTCCAAATCAAGGGGGGCAGGTTGCAAAGATAGGCAGATCCCCCTCAAGTGCCTGGTGCTGGTTTTGCATATGGCTATCATCTCTGATAAGTAGATCGGCGCTGGCGCGCATGCCGAGCTCAACGCTTCCAGCATGAATGTGCATATAGGGTAGGAACCTCCCCTGCTGTTTGCAATGCCCTAAGTAACTTTCCTGCTCTGATGGTTGAAATCGAAGCAGTGGTGCCGGTGTCGGTCTCTGGCATTGTCATGCAGCTGTGATCAGGCCCACCCTTCATCGGCCATTACAGGGATAACGTCGGATCCTCTGAACGCGCATGTATTATTGCCTGCGTGGCTGACTAAAACCTTAGTGTTACGCCATTCAACCGGTGACATCATGAGTAGCTGTGTCCCCCAGGAAACAAGAATGGTCCTGCTCTAGTATGCGAACGAGGGTGCTGGCACTAGCGGAATGAGAATGGATCACTCTACGCGCGAGCAGATCGGGCTTCGCGGCGCGCTCCCGAAACAAATGAGCAGCGCCCGTCAGCGCTCGCAAGGGCGAGGCCGTGCCTGCGCCCTGATATGCCCGCCCCAGCGTGGCCAAGTCTCCCCCCAGGGCCTGCCTCGGAAAAAAACACGCACATTAGATCGCATGCGAGTTGAGTTCAAAAGGGTCCAATGGCTTCGCCACGCGCAATTTTCCAAGAGCCCCCCCCTGAACATGACGATGCGCTGACAGCATCGCCAAGAAGGCTTAGGCCACGTCACGAATTCGAAGATGGGCGCGCAAAACACTTGCACGGCCAGGCTACCAAATCCACGATCTCATTCGCGAGGATCTAACATATGTTTTGGCATGGCCCCATGCCTCTGAAACAAGTGTCGCAGGGCGTCTTGGCGCACGCCCATCTCGCGCCTGTCAGCGGCGAGGGCGCGGCGTCGCGGGGAAAGGCGGCGATCGGAAGACCATGCAAATGGCGCAAGCAGCGGGGGGCGGTCGCGAATGTTAGCTCCATTGTCAAATTCCACGTGAAACTCACAATTCATGATGCGCGCGTGGAAGATGGGAGCAACGCGAATATTGTCAATCATTCGTTCTTGACCCTTGTTGGACACAGGTGCGGCGCCCTCGCTGTTGAACACCATGTGAGAAGTGATCAGCCTGCGGAAACTACTGACAGCGAAATCGCAAGATCGCTCGCCCCAGGGAACTCGGTCTCGGCAAGGCGCCACTGCGCCCTGGGAACCCGAAAGCGCAGAGCCCGCCGTCGCGCCGGAAGCAACCAACGGCGCATCAGGGGGCCCAGAAGCATAACATTTCAAAATCAATCCAAGCTTTCCCCTCTCAGCCTCTCAGCAGCAGTCACCGCTACGGCGGAGAATGCTGGGGCTTCAATCCTCGCGAACAGCAAGCCAGCAGGTCTGTGCAAAACACGCGCATGCCGTCTGGCCTGGGCGAATGCGCGACGCCCCTTTCTGGCATGCCATATCTTAACATTGATTCAGAGCTCTGCGCCAAGCCCCCCCGATGAAGCGCCACGTGAAACGACGAAGAAGTCGCCGTGCCAAACCTAGCCTCCGAACGCCAGCCTACTGGGCGCCTGCGTCGGCAACCTGTGCAAGTGGGCGGACTCCGCGCGAGCCCGTCTCAGGTCGCCCGCCCGTCCCCACTTGGCCGCCGGGCCGCCAAACGAGCATTGCACTGGCACGCGTTCAATTGACTCTGCTTGGTTTCTGGCGGCCAGGTGATGCCCGCGGACGAGCGAATGCGCCGATGTTATAAGCCGCCGCCCTGTGGGAAGGCCCCTCGGGTAGACCGCCCTGATGTCAGGACAGGCATCGCAGAGCCAAGCCCGCTCTAGCGGCAATCGATATCCGGCAAAAAGCAGACAGCGAGGGGCGGGGGGCGCGGGCGACGCGAGGCCCGCGTGAGTGCCGCCCGCAAGCAAGTCAGCCATGGCGTCCCAAGGATGCCCCACGCGCCCCCTAGCGCGTCTGACCAGAGTGACGCGGCGAAACCGAAGTACAGCCCGCAGGGAATGCGCCAAACGCCCAACGTGATCATCCATCGACGGAGGGGCAAAGCCATTGAGGACTCAACTACGCGTGTCCTTCTCGCCCCAAGCCCCTGTTGTGGGCGCGCCGCGCAGCAGGTGAATGGCCGCCCCGCGCGCGCGCCGACATGCTATGCTCGCTCTCTGTGCTCGTGGAGATCCCGGATCGTGGGTTGGTCCTGCAAGATTGACTCGACCCACTTGCCCAGCTGCCTTGATGAGGAACCTTGGGAGTCTTCGGCCATTGCGATCATCGCCCGAGACGCCTGCTCTTCGAGCTGAAACTTGACTGAGCCGTCCGTGTAAATGCGTCGTCCGCTCCGTGTTTCGTGTCACATACGGGCCCATTTCGACCGCAGAAGGGGGGGTCTCGTCGGACATCCTAGGGTCGAGCAGAGGAACAACCGCGGGCATGGCAACGCCTCTATGGGGCGCAAGGATGGGCGGGGGGGGGGGCGAAGAGGGCGGTGCGGATCAGCGCGGGGAGCCCAAGTCCAACGAGCCCCGGTCCGCGGCGAACATCCTCGCTCCCGCTGCGTAGTCGCCGAGCCGATTCCGAGGAGCAGCTCCATGAATGAGAAAAGCGGGAGTGGGGAGGGAGAGGAGACTGATGCTCAGGTACACTGCAAAGAGCTACGCTGAAACCAGAATGACCCACTGGCACAAACAAATCGATCGAAGCACGCGACTGAGAGCGAGCGCGCGCCCTTGCGTCGATTAAATCCTTGCCGCTGCTGGGTCTTGTGGAATGGCCGACCCCTCCACCCCGCCGGGAAACCAAACGCATAACCGTGGAATCGAGATATCATGCAATGGCAATCGAGGCCGCTAGAGGTTTCTGGGCATCACGTATGACAAAGGGCGAGTGGCCGCCGAAAATCTGAATGATTCAGCCGCCAGTTTCATGGCGTGGATGCGGCCGCGTGGCTGGCTGACCTCGCGAACGCCTTCTCCCTTGCGGGATAAGCCTCGGCCCTGAGCAAACTGGAATTTGACTGTCGACCGTTTCGCGGGGACGATGGCCGCCCAATTTGGCGCCGCGCAGGTGAGCGCCCATGCACACGTGCCTAGTTGCATCTCCAACAGGTGGGACCTATGGCGATGCTATCGATGAGCGCTAAGGAATGAGACTGGTGCGCCGCGACGAGATCAATGAAGCTCGATCTAATTTCCCACGAGCGGGAACTGCGAATGGTAGCTAGGGTGAGATGAAGCCAGGCTTCCTGGCTGCGCGCAGATGCCAGGGCGAACATGTCGTCTGCATAGCTGCTCAAAGGTGCCGCTGATGAGGGTCCATGCTGGGAGCTGGTTTCAAGCTGACGCTGGTCCGCAGCCTATCTTCCTCCCCAAGAGCAGTTAAACACATGAGAAACAAGCGATGTCCTGGGAAAGGCCCTGAGGAAGGATATGATGAACTCTCAAGGCAGGTCCTAGTGGGCCTCATCTGCGGAACTGGCTGAGAAATGTTGGAGATCCCGTCGCAACAATAGAAGACAACCGAATTCGCGCCCAAGCTAGCAATTTTACCATTGCCACCTCTGGAAAGCACGGAACGAGGGTTCACGTCAACCGATGCCCCTTGCGCGGAGGGCTGTTTGTCTCGGGGTCCTCCTGATCCTCGGCCGTTTCCTTCTTGACTGAACCGGTTTCTCCCCTGAGCGTCTGCACACGGCACGGGCCCTCCTGTGTACTCTGCATGGGCTGGGTGGTTGCCAGAAGTTTCAGGGCGATTGTGGGAACCGCTTGCTCTGATTTTTTCGTGGACCGCCGACCGTGCGAATGGGGCTTAAAGGCACGTCCAGCTGGCTGCCGTCTATGGATTCTAACATTTGCCCATATTTGGTCCTAGAGAGACTGGGGTGCCTGCCGCCGGTGTTATCGGTACTGGAGCCTGTGGCGAGTGTTTTAGATGCCCCTGGATCGGCTTGGCCTGGGCTGGCCGGTACGCCGATGGAGTCGCCAGTCTGGGAGGGCCCTGCTGCGTTCCATGTGGCGTGGGCGAGGCGGACGTTTACTTCGGTAGTGGCGTGGCTGCAGTTGGGCTCAATCCTGGCGCTGAAACCGCGGCTGCCTCTGTCGCTGAAGTTTGCTCTGGGGGGGTCGCCGACACTGAACTAACTGGCCCTCTAATAGTAAAACACAACACCCGCCTCACACATCTCTTCCAAACAAAGCTGATGCTGCTGCTGCTTCTGAACTTCGTTGGTAAGCGTATTCAAACTAGTGCTTGGAGTCTGAATATTGCCAGGCCCCAAATCATAACCAGAAATAACAGCATTTGGCGGTGGTGGCGGTGCTATCGGTGGAGCAGCTCCTGCTGGATACAACGTCGTCGATGTCGGTCCTTTGCTTTAGTCCCTTGGCGGGAACATGCTGTGCGGCTCCCTTGGCTGACCTTCTGAATCGTCCGTATCATAATCTGGCTGCGTCTCAATATCCCCTAACTCAATAGTGCTGGCCCTGATGTTTGTAAACTGTGCATCAATCGTCTTGTCTTCTTCTATGAGGTCTGGGCAATTATTCATGATGGGTTTGAGCATCTCCAGGGCCTTGTTTTGACTGGTCCTCAAGGTGCTGAACTGGCGCGCGAACGTCTTGAAAGCCTTGAGCTACTTGGTGTCTGCGGGCGGCTCCACGGACAATGGATGGCATATCCATGTGCTGTGGAATCTCGGATGATACGTTAAACAACTATTGGGTAGCCTTCGTCTCATTATCATAAGCCCGATGGCGGCTTGGATCTCGACGCGGACGACTTGGCTCCCGACGCTGGGACAGTGTAAACAGGCCGCTTTGCTTGGACCTCTCCTGTCTCGGATTGAAACCATAGCTTCGACCACACAAACAGCTCCAATGACGACCTTCGGCATGCCTTCCACACTTGAGACACTCCTACTTGACACCCCGTCCAATGGTGCGGACTCTTTGGTTCTGATCTGGTATCTCCCTGGAACTGCGCTGGCATTGCAAAAGGGCGCCAGGCAACGAGAGCTCCGAAAAGGAGCCGTGCACGAGCTGTACGCTCGCGCCCCCTGCGGGGTCAGGACGGGGGGTCCTTAGCCGTCTTTTCGGTCGCGGCACAAAAGGCAGGACACAATCTGTGCACGCCCGAATTTCTGCCAAGAATGGAACCCCCTCTGGGATGCAAAACCTGGGTCTCCTGGGCCAAACCTGTTCGTCGTCGTCGTCCTCCTCCTCCTCCTCCCCCTCCTCCTCATCACAGTCTTTCTCCTCCTCCTCCTCCTCATCTTCCTTCTCTTATTCCTCCTCCTCCTCCTCCTCCTCCTCCGATCGAGCAAGGCCCCAAAGGGTCGCCGCCGCGGCCGCCAGGGGCTCCCAGAAGCCCCTGCCCTCGCCCAGCGACCCGGCGGCCGCGAGCGCCTGCAGGGCGGCAGGCCCGCCCCCCCCCCCCCGACACACACACACACACACACACACACACACACACACACACACACACACACGCACACACACACACACACACACGCACACACACACACACATACACGTTGCCCAGGGGGCGGGGGAGGGGAACGGGACGGGGAGGGAAGGGCCAGGTGTTGTTGACAAGTGCCCCTGGCCCAAAGTGCCTCCAGGATTTCCAAAGATGCCCGCACGGCCTCCAGAGCAGCCCCATCTCGAGGCCCAGAGGGCCCCATTGGCTCTAAAATGTAACGAAAAGATGGGGGCACCTTGGGCCAGGGGCACCTTTAGCAACCAAGGGGCGGGGAGGGAGGGAGGGATCGCTGGAACGGTTGTTTATGATAGTGTTTCTTCGTTCTCTGCTGAAGCCATTGCTTTGAACGACAAGGCGCAAGCACTAGGCCACTTTGTTATCCGTAAGGGTTTCGCCCCCTGCCGCCGGCCCCCTCTCTCGGATAATGGGGGATGCAAAAGCTATGTTGTGAGGCCTGGGCGCCGTGGTGAAGCAGCGTCGGCTCTTGGAGCGTTTCGGGGGGTGGGGGGGGAGCCTCTCGGGCCGTTTCGGGACAATGTTGGGCGGCTTGGAGCACTCTTTGACCGTCTCGGGAGTTTCTTGTACCGTCTTGGGGGCCTTCTCTGATGGATCGTGGCCTCGAAATTGCAAATACGGCATACCTTACAAGAGTTTATAACTTCGGGGGCATGACGATCGCGTAATCCCACCAGCCCTCTGGGCGTCGGTGGTTTAGGAAGTTTCCTCTTCCACCCCTCCTTCTTCCCCTTCGGGGAGGGGCTTACCCCTCCCCCATACTCCCTCCCCATGGACCTGGACAAAGGGTTTCGCGAGGTGTCGGAGCGTCCAAAACGACCTCGGCGAGGAAGCCAAAATCACTGGTTTTATTCAGGTTTTGGCACCATGCCTCCTGAGGGGGGGACCCTAATTAGTGCCCCCCCCCTCCTCCTGTGATCGATCTTACCCAAGATGGCCCAAAGATGGCCCCCAAGGGTGCCAAGAGGGCCCCAAGAGGTGGCCAGGAGGCCCCAAGAGGCCCCAAGGATGCCTCCAAGAGGCTCCCAAGAGACCCCCAAGAGGCCCCAAGAGACCCCCCAGAGGCACCCAAGATGCTCCAAGAGGCCTCGGCGAGAATGCCAAATCACTGATGTTACAAAGGTTTTAGCCACATGTTGGCCTCTTTGGGTGGCTCTGATTAAGATGACTCCAAGAACGCCTGGGAGAGCCCAAGATGACCTCCAAGATGGCGCAAGATATCCCAAGATGTCTCAGATTGGCTCCCACGATGCTCCAAGGTGCCCCAAGACCGCTTCAAGACGGCTCCCAGTGGCCAAAGAGCTCCCCCAGGAGGCCCCGTAGAGGCCAACACCTTATATATATATATATATATATATATATATGTGTGTGTGTGTGTGTGTGTGTGTGTGTGTGTGTGTGTGTGTGTGTGTGTGTGTGTGTGTGTGTGTGTGTGTGTGTGTGTGTATGTGCGTGTGCGTGTGCGTGTGCGTGTGCGTGTGCGTGTGCGTGTGTGTGTGTGTGTGTGTGTCTGTGTGTGTCTGTGTGTGTCTGTGTGTGTGTGTGTGTGTGTGTGTGTGTGTGTGTGTGTGTGTGTGTGTTTGGCTTGCTCGCCTTTGCGTTGCCGATGGCCATCCGAGGCCTCAAGATGGCTCCACGATGTCCCAAGAGGGCTCCAAAAAAGGTGTCACAGAACCCCAAGGCGGCCCCAAGAGCGCCTAAGAGCGTTCCAAGAGCGCCCCGAGAGGCGATTGTTTGGGCTCCCGAGGGGCAGCGCTAACTAATGCTCGCTTCTTGTTTGATCGATGTCCCGCAAGATGGCCCCAAGAGCGCTCCCAAGGCTCCCAAGAGCACTTCAAAGAGAGCCCTAAGAGGCGCCCAGGAGGCCCCAACAGGCGCCCAAGAGGCCTCCAAGACGCTCCCAAGAGACCCCCAGGAGGCCCCAAGAAACTCTCCGAGGCACCCAAGACGCTCAAAGAGACCTCCACTGGGGGACCCTTCCTCTGTGTGCTGCCCACTTCCCTGATCGAGGCAATTCCTCTGGGCATCGTTTCTGGATGGGCTGATGGGGTTACTTTTTGTCGCGGCCGCAAGCGAAAACGCAGGAGGCATGCGAAAGGTCGGGCGGGCTACGCGCGAGCCTAATTATACAGCGACCGAGCGCGGGATCATGACCTGATCCTGATGGGGTTACGCGAAGCGTCTAGAATTTACTAAGGATCATGGTTTGGGGGACGCGGTCATCGCGTAATTTACAAAAACCAGTAGCGCCTCGGAAACGTGAGTGTACTATAATTCACACGGAAATGAAAACTCGGGAGCGCGAGCGCATCATAATTTGCAAGGGTGTGAGGCCTCGGGGCCGCGGATATTGCGTATTTCAATACAGCGGTGTGGCATGGGGCGCGCTGCTATGGCGTAGATAGAAGATGACCATTTCTTCGGGGACGCGGATTTCAAGTATTTTCACATGCCCCTAAACCCCGAGAGCTCGGGAGACCCCCCCGGGTGAAGGTAACCACGGCCTTTTTCGGCTGCCCCCCCCTCGCGCGGGCTTCAAAACATCACAATCGAAAACGTAACACATAATTGTAACGTCGGAAAATGGAAACGGGAAGCGGAGTAGGGAACAGCCAGCCTAATCCGCGGACGGCGGATTACTCCGTGCGCGGCCGTTGTTTCAGTGACTTAGGCTTGGAGGGGCGGGGCAGGAGGAGCCGGAGGGAGGAAGAGGGATGCGGGATGTGCGGACATGCAGGACGGGGCGGGGAGCGCAGGGAGGCATGCAGGCAGGAGGGAGGAAGGAGGAGGGAGAGGACGAGGAGGGAGGAGGAAGGAGTGAGGACAAATCGAGGCGCGCATCATCGGCCGGGCGCGCGTGCCTGACACAGTAAGGCGCTGAGGGCTGCGGGCGGATCACTTTTTGTTGGTCCCCGGGGGCCGGGTGGGCGCGCCCCCGATCGGCGGCGGGCGGAGGGGAAAGTGCGGCGGGACTTCCCAGAAGCTCTCGCGCCTTCTGCAAGTTTCTTCCGCACCTTTCGGAGGGGGGCCAAGAAAACTTGTCAGAACGCCGGGGGGCTTCCGAACCCTCTGAGAAGGCCCGCCGCTTCTCACTTCTCCCCAGGCGCGCCGCCGACCCGAGAGACGGCAAACTCGTTCGATCTCCGCGACAGCAGGAGGCTCGTCGCGGTCGGAGCAACGGCGGGCTGCACCTTGGCGAACTGCGCCTCTGCGATCGGAAGAGGAGAAGTGGCCGCGGAGAAAGGAGGGAACTGGGGGCCCGCTCCACAGTAGCAGAACCCCAAAATTCGGGGCCGCGCCAACATGGGTCAGCACAACCCTTGGTCGGCGAGGGCCCCGTCACGATGCCTGGCCAGCCGCTCAGAAGCTCCCAAGCCCGGGTCAGCGGAGGGCGGAGAAGGGGGAATCGGGCTCACGTCGCGTGTCTCTTGGCCCTGGATCAACCAAAGGGGATTAGCTGACCCCGTTATCGCTGACCCCTGGGCCCGTGAGCCACGAAAGCGGCAGAAACAGAAACACCTGTAAGTACGCGCGTGGTCTCACCCCACGGCGGCGCCTCTGGCACCGGCCCTGGCGCGACAATCGGAAAGCGCATCGCCGCCAGAAGAAATCCGCGCAGACCCCCGAAGGCTCATGCTTATGCAGTGTGCTGCTCCTCCGATGAGGGTGGGCGGTGCGCGCAGACTGGTGACGGGGGCCGAGGGCCGTCTGATTAGAGAAGCTGGGGGAACCAGAAGGTACCGATACCGCTGCTCTCCAGACCCCTCCTGGGGTGCGTCTTGGCCAGAATTTTGATGCGAATCCAGCGGTGGCGACGAGGGCATCCCAGAAGGCCCAAAAAGAGGACAACGAGGCAAGCGTAGCGGTATTGGTTCATCTTCTTGTCTCTGCAAATGGGAAATTCCACGAACGTGGAAGCGACCAGAACAAGCACAACTGGCAGTTTCCGAAATGAGCCTGGAGCAGTAGGGATGAGGTCGGCAGGGATGGAGAAACTAAAAGGAAACTGACCAGGGCTGGAAGGGTGATACAACTTAAAACTGATACATAGTAAGGGTGCGCGATAAGGATTCAAGGGCCTTGCAAAGGTCCCAAACTACACAACAATATGATCATCTCGCCTCTTTCCGAGCCCGCAGGATATCTGGGACAGGGCGAAAACGGCCGCCCCCCTGTGACACTCCTGGAGCGCGTCCGGACTTCGATTTCGAGGTGGATCCAGCCGCAAGCCTCTCCTCGAGGTTCAGGCTCAAGAGCGTCCCAAACGCGGGCGCAAGCTGACATGGATTAGGGATTCGTGGATCTGGCATGTGGGTACCAGGCCCATGGATCGGGGAAACTACCACCCGGAACAGGAAGACACTGCCGCCTCATCTGGCGACGGAGCGCACCGATCCTGGACGGAATCCATTCCACGCTTCCTTGACAAGCCTGGGTCTACGAACCCCGATCCTTCGCCACCGATCCGATCCTTCATCTTTTTTTCACGACGTGGACCCCCAGAGGTCTGGACCCCTTCCCCGGGGTCGTGTTTTCATCCAGAGCCGCTTATTGATGACCCCAGGTGGCGGCCCTGGGGCCCTGTCGGGCTCCAGGGAGGCCGAACAATAATGGAACGCCTCCCGTCGTGATTTGCTCGTGGCCCGAGGAGGCCCCCCCTCGAGTCCTGGACGGTGGCGGGCGACAGCAACACCACGTCGCCCCCGAAGACGTTGCCGAAGATGCCGGCGCGCAGGGCTGGGCCGAGGAAGAGCCGCGTGCGGTCGCTTCGGCTGGCCAGCGCACCCCGGACGTCCTGGCCCGCCGTGGGCAGGGGCCGGGATGGAGTCCTCGTGCTAGCGCGGAGCGTTCAGCGAAGGGTTCTCCTAGTCCAATCGGGAGGGGGAGTCCCAGGGTCCCACGAGGGCGCCCCCCTGCCCCCCTCCCCACCCCCTGTGGGCTCCTTCTGGTATCCCCTACCCTCGCCCCAATCCTCGCACTCTCGTTTCGGATCGGAGGGGGGAGAGGATGAGCTCTGAGTCAGATGGGCCCTGTGGGATCACACCCCAGTGGCCCTCCCCAGTTGGCTCGCCCCACTGCCCGTGACCCCCTCTTGGCGCAACCAACCCCTCCTACTTCTGCCGCCCCCTCCTCCTCCTCCTCCTCCTCCTCCTCCTCCTCCTCGTCCTCCTCATCCTCCTCCTCCTCCTCCTCCTCCTCACCCCCCACCTCTCCAGGTGGGGGCAAGAGAGCCCCAGCAATTTCTTAGCGACCTCGCCGCGGAACGAGGGACGACAGGGCCTGTATGGCCAGTGCGAGCCTCGGCCACCCAGACGCCCGCCAATGCAGCAAGGGCTCGACCACAAGAAACCTTCCACAAGAAACCCAGCCCTGGCCCCCCAGGACGTACATTGATTCTTAATTACACCGGGGCGAAACCTCAATGAATGGATGGTTTGATGGATAAGGAGATCGACCATGGCAGGGATCCGGCAACCGGGAGTCCACCGAAATCGGCCGGGAACCAATAACCAGGAACCCGGGAACCCGGAACCAGGAACCCGGCAACCCAGCCGGTCACCAAAATCGGCGGGAAACTTTCGCCAAATCTTTAAATTTCCGCTGGGACCCTTCAGTGCAATATATGGGAACGTCGCGTACTCCATGGCAAAACAATCGAACCACAAGAAGCCCAGGGCACCCTGGAGGCAAAGAAGGCGATTCTTGGCATGGGTTTCCGCTGTGTGACTTCTCCGATCTGCGGACCGAAAGGTCCCGACCCCTTCCCAGGGGGTGGCCTCTCGTCCCAGATCCTCTTTTGATGGTCCCCGGGCCCGATAACTGGCCCCAGAGGCCGACATCAAGGAAACGCCGCCCGGATTAAAACATCAGATCCTCGGAGCTCTGGGCACGAAGGTGATGCTCGCCAGAGTCTCTCCCGATGCCACAAAGCGGCCCCTGCTTCAGCGCCTCGGTCATGTATGTCGGCGGGCGGGCAGGCACTGGATGAGGAAGCATTCGGCAAGACAAATACCAGGCTGTCGGCGGCGACCGAGGAGGGGAAGTGAGAAGGAGGAGGCCTTCTCGGAGGGCGGCGGGATTTCTCAAAAGCCCTCGCGCCTTCTAAAACGTCTTCTCAGTCTTCGGACGAGGGCCCGAACATTTCTCAGGACGCTTGGGGACTTTCGAGCCTTCTGAGAAGGCCCGCCCCTTCTCACTTCTCCCCCGGCCCCCCCCAGCCCGCCGCCGGCTCTGGGAGCCGGTGGAACTCCAGTCGTGGAATGGACATGGATATCACCGCCACCCTCATCAGAGAAGGAATCCTCAGGGTCTGAAGTCTCCTGGGCACATTCCTTAACCAACGCCCTCACCGGGAATTCCATTGCCAACCTCCTCCCCTGGCAACGTCACGGTTCGCGCCTGCCGTCTGGGCGCTCGCTCTTCCTAAGCATTATTACAGGCATTCCCAGACGGCGCCGGCGCGAATCGAGACGTTACCACCCTCCTGCCTCCCCCACCGTTTCACCCGTTCTCGCCAGGGGGTAAAAATAGTCTTCTGTCGCTGCGGAACGAGGAGAGATGTTCGAAATTTTGTTCTGGCTATAGGGGGCTATCGCGCGACAGTTATCGTTGTACCGTGAGGAACGATCAGATCTGCCATCGTGCATGCACGGAGCGGGCGTGTTAGACAGCGTTGTGTTGTCTGGTGGAAGGTCTTGTAGAGTTGAAGAGACCCCCCTCACCGCACGCGTCCCTAAAACAAACCCTCTTCTGCAATTGCATTCTGGTGGTCTCTTCGGCCTTCAAAAGGCCAATATGGCCTCGAAGACGGCTTCCAAGACAGCTTAAGAGCCTCCCAAGAGGGCCCCAAGACGGCTCAAGATAACCCAAGACGGCCTCAAGACTGCCCAAGAGGCCCGCAAGACGGCCCGAGAGAGCTCCAAAAAGCCTTCCTGGAGCGCTCGCGAGGGTCCAAACCATTGATATTCCTTCGGTGTTTGAGAAAAGTTCTGAGGTTCTCGCCGGCTCGTGCTTCCCCCACCCAAGACGGCCCAAGAAGCTTCCAAGTGGCCTCCAAGATGGCTCCAAGATAACCCAAGAGGCCCCTCAGAGGGCCCCCAGTCGGCCCAAACGAACCCACTGATCACCCAAGGGGCTCCCAAAGAGGGCCCCAAGAAGGTCTGCAAGCGCTCCAAGAGAGCAACAAGACGGCCCCGAGAGGCCACTTGGGCAGTCTTGGGCGGTCGGAAACCCGAACATGCCAGAACCTCAGCATCCTTCAAACACCTAAGGCAATGAAAAGGTTTTGGCCTCATCGAGCTCTCTTGGAGGGCCTCTTGGAAATCTCTTGGGCCGTCCTGGGGGCCTCATGCATCAGGACGGCTTTAGGCAGCCAAGATGACGCCAAGATAGCCCAAGACGGCTCAAGAGGCTCCCAAGACAGCCTCAAGGCAGATCAAGAAGCCCCCAAGACGGCCCAATAGGTCTCCAAGAGGCCCTCCTGGAGAGCCCAAGGAAGCCCAAAACATTGAAGGATTTTGAGGTTCCCACCTGTCGGGTGTCCGACCGTCCAGAACGGCCCAAGAAGCCTCCGAGATGCCTCCGAGATAGCTCGAAGACACCCCAAGGGGCTCCCAAGAAGCCCCGAAATTTGCCCCAGAAGCACCAGAGATCGCCCAAAGGGCTTCCAAGAGGGCCCCCAGACGCCGTGAGCCGCCCCAAGAGGGCACCAAGGCCCCAAAGGCGGCCTCCAGAGGCGCCAGACGGTCGGAGGCTCGCACTGCATCGCCGATGCATCGGGAGGGCATCGGCGGCGTCGGGGTGGGAAGCGTGCATCGACCTCTGCACCGCGGCGCATCGCCGATGCGTCGGCGGTGGGGCGGTCCAGGAGGGCGGGCAGGCGGGGACAGCTCACGCAAACGGCGACTCCGCCCCGCTCGTTACCTCGCCTCCGCCCTGGCCGTCGGCACTCGTCGCCACAGTCGTTCCCTTGCCTCCGCCCTCTGCCCTCACCTCTGCTCTTACCTCTGCCTTCGGGGCTGTGGCTCCCTCACCTCTGACCTGGTCGTCTGCCCTCGTCGTCGGCGCCGTCGGCGCCTCTGTCCCCCGCCGTCGGCCGTGAAAGTCACACGTGCAGTGCGCGGGCGTGGCCCTCTGGTCATCGCTCGGGGTCGTGCAGTCCAACGCGGCGATGAGGACGCTTTATTTGTTCTTGTCGTTCGACTGTTCGTTCCAGCGCGGCACTGCCAGTACTACCTAAGCGGAGCTCTGCTTCAGCACGCGAGGCGGTCGCAATTGCGTGTGTCCTCGCATCCTGAACTGGCCTATTTTGTTCCCCCGACCTCCCGCGCAGGAGCGGCCCAGCCTCCCCATTCCGCCCCTCGACCCCACCCACCCCCCGCTTCCCCTCACCCCGAGCCCCGCTCCCCGGCCAAGCGGCCGCAAGCCCTCCCCACCCTGAAACGGCGAGGCCCCACCTCGGCCGACAACGGGTCGCGGCCAGTCCCCTGTCAGGGGTGTCAATGGATTTGCCCCGTCGAGGCCTCGTGCAGGCCACGTTGGAAACCCGTTACGGCATCGCGCTCCAGTGGGCGCGGCGTGCGATCGTCCTCGGAAGCCCCGGGGGCTGGGTGTCAACGCGAGGAAGTCCCTGGCCTACCGCATCGTGGGGATTACCCAGGGGCGGGCTGAGCTCGCCTGCAGCAAGTTGGAACATCAACGGGCCCAACCGAAAGTAATGAACATACGAACAAGCATGCGGCCCCCTTAGTCAAAGCTACTGAACACACCGCCGCGTTGAACCCCACATGGGGCAGACCCGGCAGACAGTGGCGGCATGCCAATACCTGGCAATCATCTGGACACCCAGGGAACTCAGATCGTGAATCGGATGAGGAAGAAGAAGAAGAGGAGGAGAAGGAGGAGGAGAAGGAGGAGGACGAAGAGAACACTAAAGAGGAAGAGGATGGTGACAAGGCCAATGGGGACCCTTTCCCAGAAAGCGACGAGCGACGCACACGTCTGGCAGCACCCACAGCGGGAGCGAGGTCCGGTTCTGGCCAAGCTGGGGAAGCAGCAAAGTGGCGGCAGCCATCTCTGCGCCTGGCAGGAGCCAGGACGAGCCAGGTTAAGTGCCCGTCCGCGCAAGGAGCCGCTCTGCTGGACAGTTCCAGAGGCTCTAAGCAGCGGCGGCAAGCTGCAAGCCTGACAGCACGCAGGGCGGCCTTCGACTACAATGCTATGAGAAGCCAGGGAGGGTCAGGAGCTCTGAGGCATCCAAGAAGACCGCTGCGAACGCAGGAGGCATTGGGCATTCGAGGAAGCCCCCTGCCTGCTCAGGCGGCGTCCCATCGTGCCCCACCCTTCTGCGCGCCGTCGAGCACGAGAGAAGTCAGCCCTGCGCAGGGCAACGCGCATCGCGACAACGCCGGCCCCGACGGGCGGCAGAACAGTGCTGGCGCTGAGAGGCTCCCGCCTTGGTGCCCCACGGGTGGCGCCATGTTGGTGCCTCAGTGGTTGCGAAACCGTTTTCTCGCCAGGACCGGTCGCTCCGCAATCTTGTTCTCGGTCCGGTGATTTGTGGGTGGTGCCCCACGTCTCAGGCTCGATGATGCCTCGTGTGGTGTGGTCCCTCGTGTTCGCCCTGGTGCCATTTGGGTGGTGCAGCTGGCGCCCACAGCTGGCGCCTCACGATGCGTCGGCGGTTGCGATTTGTTGGTCTCGCCCTGGTGCTCTTTGGGCGGTGCCCAACGGCTGGCGCCGGACGATGCCTCGCGTGCTGCGATCTCTTGCTGCGGCCCTAGTGCCATATGGGTGAGGCCCCATGGCTGGTGTCATTCGGCGGCGAGCCTGGGGGAAAGTGAGACAGGGCGGGCCTTCTCAGAAGGCCGGGAAGTCCCCGGCCTTCTGAGAAGTTTTCCTAGCCTTCCCCGAATATACCGAAAACCTGTCAGAAGGCGCGAGGGTTTCTGAGAAGTCCCGCCGCCTTCTGAGAAGGCCTTCTCCTTCTCTTTTCCCCCCCTCGACTGCCGCCGAGTCATACAATGCTCCAGTTGCCGCGATGTCTGCTTGCCGCCCTGGTGCACCACTTTACGGGTGGTGCCCAATTGGCTGGGAGGCCCTGTGATGCCATAGCTGTCGCGATGTCTGGTTACCACCGTGGTGCCCGATGGTGGTGCTATCTGGCTGGCGCGCTGTGATGTCGTGGTTGTCGCGATTGCTGGTTGCCGCCCTGGCGCCTCATGCTACAATATGCAAATTCTGAATTCTGCGCCGCGTATCGTGCAACTCTCGGCTACGGGCTACTGCTCCCAACACTGTGTTTGCACTTTGGGGGCTCTTACTTGTAATGTGAGGAGCTGGCCCGCACTGTCGCATTCGGCGGTTCCCAGTAGGTGGCCTACGGCTGGTCCTGGCGCCCTACTGCTGGACCTCTGGGCAGCAGTCGGCCTTTCCCGAAGATTGCATTGCACGACTTGTAACTTGTAGACTCCGCCGCCGACTGCATCTCACATGTTGCCCCGCGCAGGGTGCACCGCACAGGCCCTGAGTGCTGGGGCCCCCCCACCCCCGCGCGGTCCTGCGGCGTCGAGCACGCGTCGAACTTCACATCGCCGCCGTACGAGTGGGCGGCGGCGGTGGTGCCGCCGTCACCAATGACCAGGCTGGAGGCCAGGGTCCTCCGGCGGGGACCCGAGCGCACCGCGCCAGCTGGGGCAGGGCAGCGCCAGCCCGACCCAGAACCCAGCCCCGGCTCCGCCCGTGAAAAAAAGCTCGGGATGGACCCCACGGTTCGAATAGGGGATCGACTACATAACTAATTTCCCCCAGAATTGATGTTCCCGCTGAATCCACATATATACACATACATACATATATATATATGAATATAGATATATGAATATATATATATATATATACACAAATGTAGATCAATAGTTATATATCTGTTCATACATACATACATACAGACAGACATACATGCATGCATGCATGCATGCATGCATACAGACAGACAGACAGACATCCAAACATACATACATACCTGCATACAGACAGACAGACGAACAGACAGACAGACAGACAGACAGACAGACAGACAGACAGACAGACAGACAGACAGACAGACAGACAGACAGACAGACAGACAGACAGACAGACATACATCCATGCATGCATACATACATGCATGCACGCATATACTCATTTGTATATACATGTGTGTATGTATATGTGTGAACATATATATATATATATATATATATATATATATATATATATATATAAATGTAAATTTACATACATACATATAGCAATAGATCTACGGAGCACTCGACGTATTCTCCGTAGGTTCGGCGAATTTTGGGGGTAAATCGATTATGTGGCCGATCCCCGACTCGGACGGTGCCCTTCTGAGCCCCTTCGGCGTCTGAGCCCGCTCCGCCGCCGAACGGGCAGCCGAACGGGCTCAGCTCCGACAGGGTCGAGGGCGCTGAGCCCGCCCGGCCGCCGAATGGGCTCGGTCGTGGGTCCACTCGGCGGCCGAAAGGGCTCCGACGCCGAACCGGGCTCCGCAAGGCGCGCGCGCGCGTGCGCGCGCGGCGGGGCGGCGCAGCAACGCCCCGAGCGTGGCGGCCTCTCGGCCTCTCGGCGAGTCCGGCCATCGCTCGGACGTCCATTCCGTGTGTTTTTTCGGTTTCGTGCGTGGATTTTTCGCCAAATGATCAAGGATGCTCCTCGATGGTCCTCGCCGAAGGAAACATGCACACGTCCGAGCGATGCCACGGAGCTCTCTGGTCGGAGGCGCCGCCGCTGCTGCGCAGCGGCAGCCGTCGCGGCGGGGCACGCGCTGCCCGAGGCTCAGGGGTCCAGTGCAGTGATCGGTTCAGCTTGCAACAGTTGCACCAGTTTGGGCGGCGAGCGATGGGGGGAAGTGAGAAGGAGAAGGCCATCTCAGACGGCGGCGGGACTCCTCAGAAACCCTCGCGCCTTCTGAGAAAGTTGCTGTGTCTTCGGGAAAGGCTAAACAACTTCTCAGAAGGCCGAGGGACTTCCGAGACTTCTGAGAAGGCCCGCCCCTTCTCAGTTCCCTCCCTCGCTCGCCGCCGACAGTTGCAAGGTGGTTAGAACCCACATGCAAAGCGCCTGCAAGTGGGTTGCCAGTCCGTCTAGCTTCCTCTAGTCTGAGGGCACGTCGCGGACCCAACTTGGAGCAGCTAGGCGTGCGCGCAACTCTTGCAGGTCACAGCGATCACTGCAGCAGCGGGGTGGAAGGGGAGGGAGACGAGGCGCCTCCTGCCCCATTCCCCCTCCCGCCCCGCCGCGCTCTACCACGTCAGGCCTCTGGCAGCCCCAAACCTCCGAGGCCGTGGGCTTGTTACGTCGCTCATAACGTGGGCCGCCTGAGGTCCGGACCCTCTCCCTGGGACCAGTGTTCCACTCCTGGGCCCAACAGCAGAACACGTGCAAAAACTTGCCGTCGGAAATGTCCGCAACGAGAAGAACAGCCGATTTCGGGTCATACCTTGGGTTTGCGGCGGCCGTTCGGGCCGTTCGGGACGATCTGGGCTTCCCAGGACCGCTTCCGGCGAGGCGCAGCTACAGGAAAGCACCCCGAGGCTGGAAACAGAAACCTCTAACGACCGACGGAGGCGCACGAAACCCTCGAACGACGACTACGAAACGGAGGAGGACGAGGAGAACGACGACCTCGACTAAGATCGGACCGGCAGTGGATTTCGATCGCACCGAACTTGGATGCTCGTTCTGGGGCCCTGAGGACACCTTCGTGGAGCCACTCGCCACACTCACGCGTCGATGTTGCGTCGACCGTCCATCGACTTGAGTCGAAGTTGAGCCGAGCTGGAGCAGAACTATGAGCCGAACTACACGTAGATGCGAACTGGAGCCGAACAGATCCTTCGGGTGGCCCCCAGGAATCGGCGGCGAGCGAGGGGAGCAGTGAGAAGGAGAAGGCCTTGTCAGCAGGCGGCGGGACTCCTCAGAAACTCTCGCGCCTTCTGAGGATATTTCCCGTGCCTTCAGGGACGGCTTGGAAAACTTCTCAAAGGGCCCAGGGGGACTTTCGAGCCTTCTGAGACGGCCCACCCCTTCTCACTTCCCCCCCTGGGCTCGCCGCAGACCAAGTCCTCGGGAAGGAGGGTGGCGGCGACACCAATGAGGCCGCACTTCGGGGCCACCTCACAGATCTGGTCAGATGTTCGGTTGGGGGACCCGGGGTCCCCACACCGAACATGTGCGGTGGGGGCCGATCCACAAGAAACCTTCCACAAGAAACCCAACCCTGAGACCCCAGGACGTCCATCGACCCTTGGTGTGGCAGCGTCACACGCTTTCCAGCGCAAAGCCATCGAAGCCCAAGAAAAACCCAGGGCACCCGGGAGGCAGGCAGGGTGCTCCTTGGCATGGGCCTCCACTGCCACCGCACGACCGCCGCTGGCCTGCGACGGCCCCGCCCCCGAGCCGGGCGCGCACGCGGCCGGCGGGCCGACCGTGCCCCGAGGGTCCTCACTGCCCCGGCCTTGAGCACGGCGCCAGCCTCTGCGGGCGGGGGGCGGGGGTGGGCGCCCCAGCGAGGGGGAAGGCTCAGCAGCGCGCAGAGGGGGGGCAATGGGGCGGAGGGGGGGAGGCTTCCCAGCAGCACCCCTGCTTCTAAGAAGCCGTCCCAGCCCCCCCTATACCCCCCATTCTGCGCGCCGCCAGCAGGCCCACCAAGACTCATCAACATTCCGCCGCATTCCCAGGGAATCCGCAGGGATTTGCAGGAGCCCCCAGGAACCCATCATATTTCCAAGGATTCCTGGCGCTTCCCCCAGGGGGAGCGCCAGAGGTGGGGGAGGAGAGGGGGAAGAGGCAAACTAGGCGCGGTCTTGCCATATCTGGCATCCTGCCTCTCCCACTCATCCCGTCCCGTGGCGCTGATTGTTTCTCTATTCGCCGACGCGTGTCACAACAGGCCTGGAATTCAAAAAAGGACCCCATCATGTCATGCGCAATGGGGAAAAGGGAGCTGAGAAGAAGGATCATCAGGAGGAAAAGGAGGATGAGAAAGGAGGAGGACGAGGACGAACAGCACCAGCAGGAGCTGGAGTGAAAGGAGCGGGAGGAGCAGGAGGATCAGGGGAAGGCGGAGGAGGCGGGAGGCGACAACAATGAGGAAGGACTTGGGTCCAGAAAAGTTGCCCGCACTGGGACGAGAGTGTCATGCCGAACGACGGGGGCTAGCTGCCGATCCTAAAATGATACCCACGCTGCAGCGACATCACAGCTTCGAAGGACCGAAAACGACTGGCTTGTAAACAAAGCCATAAGAAACAACACAAGTCCTGAGATCCTGTGTGGGAGAGATCAGTTCAGTTGCGGAGAGGGTGGAGCATTTTGAATCCAAAATCAGGGGAGAAGAATTGTGGATGGGGGAGTGGGCGCAGGGTTTGAGAAGGACCGATGAGGAGGAAAAGGAGGAGAACAGGAGGAAAAGAGGGAGGATGAACTCACGCAATCCATCCAGACGGGACTTCAGGGTACAAGCTCAGGCTTTGGTCAAGCAGTGAGGCTCGCGGGAACTCCACGCCGCATTCAGGCGCGGGAGGCCCCTCGCCAAGCTGCTCAACTTCTACTTCCCAGTCTGACCGGGGCGCTGAGGGCAGACACCGCAGAGCTCATCGGGGACTGCCCCACAGAACGTTCCGCAGGAGGGCCAAAAGCACACACGTCGATACACTGCGAGGTTGCGCGCTCGGATGCTGGCCTCCGGAAACCCGACCATGCTCCACGGCGCAACTCCAGCAGAAGACCCAACCTCTGCAGGAGGACAGGAGAGGGAGGCGGCGGACTAGGAGGAAGAGAAGGAGGAGGAAGTGGAAAGGGACGGGGGTGAGAAGAAGGGTGATGGAGGAGGCAGCGGAGGATGGGGAGGTGAGGAGGGGGAGGGAGGAGGGGAGGGGAGGAGGACGACGAGAGAGGGTATTCGGTGGCTTTTGGCAACTTTAACCGACGTTCTCGAACGTGTCTGAAGTTTATTCCCGCAACTCGACACATTGAAGGATGTTTTGAACATGTCTTCGGATGTCTCCGGGGAGGGGAGCAGGGTGGAGCGAGGAGAGCGCGAGGAAGTAGGAGGCATGATGGGGGGATGCGGGACAGTGCGGGCTCGGAGGAGAATGAGGGGTGAGGAGGGAGGAAGACACTCCTCTTCCTCGCTCCTCCCTTCTCTCCTCACACTCCTCCAAAAGCCCGCCAACAACCTCGATAACCTGCCAGAGCCTCCCAAGACCTCTTCCTCCCCATCCTCGTCAAACGCCGATCCGAACCGTTGAAAACCATTGTCCCCGTTCGCCACTCTTCCTCCTCCGCCTTCTCCTTCTCGCGGGGCGCGAAGCAGAGATAACATGCACAGAGCGAGGGCGGACATGTGTGAGAGGGCGCCGTTGATCTCAATTGCTCGCGTAATTACCAATGCGCCCCGACATCATGCTTTTCTGGTACGGCCAGGAGCCAATATTGCCCAGGTAGCGCTTGCGCCGAACAATTCTGCCTTGTGCGGGGGACGGGCCCGGCCCAGGGCCCCAATGTGCCCCGGTAGGCCGTTCGCGCTTGGGGTCGCCTCCCGCCCCGCTGGCCCAGCAGCAAAGGTAGGCTGTTCCCTGGGGCTTTCCCCAAGACGAGCTTCTTATCCTTCTGAAGGGCCCAGGGCCCGTGGAGGGCCCTGGAAGCACGAAAACTCAGGACCCGTTTCCCTCAGGACGCGTTTTCCCTTTGCTAGGACGCTGGAAAGGATGCCTGGGGAGCTTGCAAGCTCGAGAAAGGAAAAGGAGCTTCGCAGGAGCTCCCAAGGACTTTCGGAGGAGCCTCGGACAGGCTTCCAGCACGCGTATCGGGAACGAGTCGGACAACGCTTCTCGGGACAAGCCGGCGCCAGTGAAGCAGCCTCGGGCACAAACATGGCCCCGCGGAGGCCCGGCGGTGTTGGACAACAGCGCCATCGTTGCCCCCCTCCTGGCCAGCCTCCCCAGCTCAGCATGCTCTCCTGGAGCACGGCTCCCGGCCAGGACCGGAAGCCACGGCCGCGAGGATGCCGCGCTGGGGCGTGGCGGGGGCCCGCTGGTCGTCCTCGCCGGGATCAGTGCCTGCAGGACGACGCCAGGTCTGAACTGGGAGCGGCAGCAGCGGGGGCGGGCCATGGCTCAGAATTGTCCGGCGGGGTGCTCTGCCCGACGGGCGAGCGCGCCAGCCCGAGACCAAGATCGATGACGGGGGACTTGGCCCCTTCGGCGCTGCCAGGCCCTGCCTGGGCCTCCGCAGGTCTCTCTTCTGGAGCCCTGCTGTGGGGAACCCAAAAGAACCGACGCCACTCCTCCCCAGACGCCTCCCGGGAGGGAGTTCGGACCAGAATCTCGCGGCGAATCCAGCGGTGGCCACGCGGGCCTCCCAGGAGGCCTGCGAATGGGGGAGAACGAGGGAAGGCTGGCGATATCGGTTCCTCCTCCTCCTCCTCGCCTCCTGTGATCCAGGAGCCTCCAGGGCCTCCCCGGATCCTCTGCAGGGGCCTCCAGAAGCCCCTGCAGCGGTCTCGACGCCCCAGCTCCCAGTGCGCGGAGCGCCTCCCTGGCAGGACGGCGCCGTCGGGGGCGGTGCGGGGACGTGGAAACAGCCCGTGATGCCGGTGGATGCCTCTGCTCGGGCGGGTGGTAATGGGAGGCGGCCTGATACATGGGGAGTGAAGAAGAAGGCCCCAAAGGAGCTCTTCGCCCCAGAGGATCCTTTCAGGGCCTTTACTTCACCCCCCATTTAAGATAAGCGTGGAGGCACGTCTGGGGCTCGCCTGGGGTTGACGGAGGCCTCCAGAGGCGCGGGGAGGTCCCATGAGGCCCAACCCATGCCCGAAGCAGGGATGAACGCCTGTCGAGGCCAGGCTCTGCTGCCTCCAAAGGCGCTCGGTGCACGGCCCTGGGCCTCGCCACGTGGCGCATGGGTGGTGTCTGCGGGTGCCCGGAGCGATCCGAGCCCAAGGTCCCCCCCGCCCCCCCGAGCTTCCAGTTTTCGCGCCCCATTTGGGCCCGTTTCAAGCCCCATGGGGTCCCGTGGGCCTCGTGAGAGGCGAGCTGGACGGCATCTGGGCCTCCACGGAGAAGCTGGGGCCGACCTGGGCTATAAGGTCATGGCTGGTAGCACCCACCGCTGGGCCTCGTGAGAGGGTGGCGGTGGACACGCGCCCCCCCTCGAACTCAGCAGCCCCTCGGAGCCTCCAGCAGCAACACCATCGACGAACCCCTTGCCGCCGCGCACTCGCGGATGCCGTCACTCCGCCGAGTGGCCCACACCACGCTGGCGCTCGGTAGCCCGCCTGCCAGGGCGGGGTGGGAGGAGGATGAGGAGGAATCACGAGGATCAGGATGACGAGCGGGACGGAGGGAGGATCAGGATGAGTAGGAAGAGAAATAGGAGGAGGAGGAGGAGGAGGAGGAGGAGGAGGAGCGAGGATGAGGAGGGAGGATGATGAGGAACTGAAGGAAGAGGAGGAAGTGAGAGGAGGAGGAGGAGGAGGAGCAGAAGGAGGAGGAGGAGGAGGAGGAGGAGGAGGAGGCGGAGGAGGAGGAGGAGGGGGAGGACGAGGGGAGGAGGAGGCGCAGACTTGAGCAATTGATGGGGGGCGCCCCCACAAATCCGGGAACAAGGGGGAGCGCCGATTAAAAAGGAGAATCGACGGCCTGCACCTCTCGCGCTCTGGCCTAGGCGGCCGCCGCTTTGCTGTCACGGGCGGCCTGCCCCAGCAAAGCTTCCTCATCCAAAGAAAGACCCAACCATCCTAACCCCCGCTGAACATCCAGCTTTCTCGAGCCCCTGAGGTCCCGCGGAAGTCCCAGGAAGGGCGCCCGAGCGGGAGAGGGCACATAACCACTCGCTTCGGGCGCCGAACGTGGGGTGGGTGGGTGGGGGGGCATTCCTCGCAACACCAAAACTGTGCTGCACCTGGGAAGACGCCCCTGCCAGAAAAACTTCAACATGATTGGAGTGCCCTCTCGAAGGCCTGCCTAGACACTGCCCATGGATCCCCCCCCTCGTGGGCCTGTTGTGGGAGCCTCGGGCATACGCCCCACATTGGAAACAGAGGAGGGAGTCCACCGCACCTATTTCGGCACACTTCTCACACGTTTCGTGGCCCCATAGGGAGCTCCACCGACGGCCCCAGTGGATGCTCCCGCATGCGCCCACCAGACAAATGTTTGCACACCCCTCACTCGCTTCGTGGCCCCATAGGCAGCTCCTCCGAATGCGGTGCATACAACGACGGTGCTTACAACTGCATCTGGTTGGGTCCTTCTCCAGGCTAATTTTCTTGTTTTTTTGTTGGGGGGGGGGGTCAGGGCGCCCAAGATGGGCAAAGATGGCTCCAAGGTGGCCCCCCGATGCTAGAATATGGTCTCCAAGACTGCTCCAGCTATCCAGCGATGGTTCAAAATAGCTTCCAACATACCTCCGAAAGGCCCGACGAGGACCACAAGACGGCTCCAAGCGCTCTCGGAGCCCCTTCAGGACCCCCCTCAGAAGGCCAACAACCTTCATCAACCTACTGAACATCAATGTTGTGTGCATTCTCGCCTTGTCGCTTCCGATGCGCCTTTGAGGCCTCAAGATGGCCCCAGGATGGCCTAAGAGAGGCCCAAGAAGAGGTCCCCCGAGACGGCGCGAAGAGCGCCTAAGATCGGCCCCAGAGCACCCCAAGAGGCGATTTGATGGCCCCGAGGGGGGGGGGGACCAAAATCGAGGGCCCCCCTCCTTCGATCAATAGCTTCCAAGCTGTCCCCAAGAGACCCTCCAGGAGGGTCCTAAGAGAGCCCGAAGAGGGCCCCAGAAGGACCCCAAGATCCCCCAAAAGAGCCCCTAAGAGGACCCCAAGATCCCCCCAAAAAGTCCCAAGAGGGCTGCAAGAGTCGATTGTAAAGGCTCTGTCCTCGTCCTCGTTGTCCTCTTTCTTGCCCTCATCGTCTTTCGAATCCTTCTGCTCCTCTTCCTCGAGGTCGCCCTCCTCCTCGTCGTCGTCCTCCTCCTCCTCCTCCTCCTCGTCCTCCTCCTCCTCCTCCCTCCTCCTCCTCCTCCTCCCTCTCCTCCTCCTCCTCCTCCTCCTCCTCCTCTTCCCCCTCCTCCTCCTCCTCCTCCTTCTCCTCCTCCTCGTCCTCCTCCTCCTCCTCGCGGTTTCCCGCCAGTTTGCAGAGTCATGAGCACGCGTTGACTGCCATGCCACCGTTGCACCACCACACGCCCCACGCGGGCTCCAAGCGGCCCCCCCATGGTTCCGGAGGTCTCTTTGTTCACCCTGGTTGCCCACTTTGTTTCACACTATCTGCTGTATGTGTCTCTTCGTCCCTTTTTCCCGTCAGCTCCCATGGGCAGGGATTATCAATGTGCTGGTGGGGATCGAACATTTCTGGTAACACAGCTGGTGTTACTGATGCTGCACGGCTGCTGTTTTTGCCATCTGCTGGTTGCCAATCAAACCGCTGCTGACTGTGCTAGGCTCCAGCAGGACCCAAAACCGGATCGACAAGTCGGGTCGGCGATCGAAGTGAATCGGATCGGCGGAAATCGGCAAACAAGTCGGGAGAAATCGGATCGGCAGAAATCGGCAAGCTCGTAGACCTCCATCGGGAAATAGGAGCTCAAATCGGAATCCAGAATCGAATCGATTCGGAAACGGCAGCCATCGAAATCGAATCGAATCGGAGGAATCAAAACGGGCCCGCCCACTGGCGTCTGCTCCAGGACTGCACGCAGCGCGCAAGCGGAAGGACGACGAGGAGAAAGAGGATGGAGCTCCGCATCGGCCTTCCACGCGTGCACGCCCGAGCCTGATGACCGCGCCTACCTACCAAGGCCTGCACTGAGAAACGAGAGGACGATAAGGTGAAATGATGAGAAGGATGGGTATGGGGAAATATGGTAACGACGACACATGCCTGTGTTGGGTCTGTCCGTGGGCTGCTACGCAGTGGGGTGGTCCAGGATCGACGGCGGGATGCGGAGGAAGAGGAGGTGTTGATTCTGAAGTTCTCTCTGGTTCGGACCTCCCGAGGGGCCTCTTGTTGCCATGGTTAGGTCCTGTGGCCAGTCCATGCTGACTGACTCGCCTGCCTCGCAGGATGTTCCGATCAGTGGCCGCCTACCTTCTCCTGCTCTCCCTATTTGCGAGGCAGCGCGGCCCATGGAGGCGGTCCTCTCCGCATGGAGGCATGGGCCTGGCTTTGTCGAGGGT